AGCTAGATCATTGTCGGAGAGGGCAGAGAGTTGTCGAAGATATTCCTGGTACAAGTAGGCTAATTAATCTTCTCGAGACGGCAGTCCTCCTTGGATGGCACATATGTGGAGTGCAAAATGGAATGAAAAATAGAATAGAATGGATGGAAAATCTACTTTGTATTTTGAAGGAAAAGTTGAATGAAAGCAATTTGTGAATTTGTCTCACCGGAAAGCAAAGTATCAAGGACGACTGTGGAGTAAAATCTGCTGTATGGGGCGAGGAACTGCTCAGTTCGCCGTTTTACGACTCTGATGAGGCCCTAGCATGCTTTTGTCTGTCTTGCCGGGACAGACATCGTCAGAACAAGAAACCATACTTTACGGAATAGTGTACAAATTACTAAGCCAAGAGAAAATGTCACACTAACTAAATATGGAAATCTTTAAAATCTAATCTTTATAAATATATAGGTTGAATGTAATTAGCACAGACAAATATTGGGGTAAAACTCAAGTGTCTTAGCATGACTTATTTCTTTGTAGAAAATTACTGATAATATTCATATATATAATCATAATAAAATCGAAAGCATACATTCTGTTTCCTCGATAAGTCTTTTTTTTACTGTGACTAATGACCTATCCTCAAAGATATGAAAGCAAAATTGTGTGGTCCTCCGTATGGTCGCAGTCTCCCTACGATTTATAAAATTGGGTTGACCTCGTTTTCGCTAATTGGTCTGGTTGTCACGGCGATTTTTTTGAGCGCAACTTGTCCGAAATCCTCTGTCAGAATAGTTATCATAATTACCAGCATCAGACCGTGGACTTGGAACATTCTCAGACTTTTCGCCGGCATCATCAGTGAGTGCTGCCATTCTCCGCACCAAGCGACGAACGCGTCAGAGACAAGTGAGGTCAATCCCTCGACCAACGTTCTGCTGAAAACGGTTACACCATCACTCCTCTTTCTGTTCTGGTCTATCTATCCACTCTTTGTCCTCTTATCCCACTCTCGCCCTATCACAACTTCTCACTTGTTTACATTCCACTCGTCAAAATGTGTGCCCTTTTGCGGCAAATCTAATGTGTCTTCATGGCACTTGCTATTCACCCCCGATCAGCTGATCCG